GGGGAGGGAAGTGCACGGGATTATGGTGATGGCACATGGGTGACTTGGTGATGGGATTACAATTGAGATGGAAAAAAAATGTACAAAATGATGTAAAAATAAACTGTTATAAAATTAAAAAAAAACCACTTTGTTGAAATGCTTTGCACTTTCCATAGAACAGAAACTAAAATAACCCATTGTAACTTAAACTATTAGTCACAAATACGGTCCTTGAGTTTTTGCCGGCACACATGATTATTGTCTAATACTTATCTTTGTAGCAGCTGGACCCTGTCACCCCTGGGCTTGGATGAGTTCACTAACCTGTTGTTACTCAGAGCTTCCCTGTCACTTCTCTGACTCTTCACTCCTGTTGAGCTTTGCTTCCTGACAGATAGTCAAAAACTTATGCCTCTGCTGTGGCAACTGCTCCTGTTCAAACCACCATCGCCACATTGATTTCGTGGTTTGGCAAGTGTAGGGCCAGAGCTTCTCCAAAGTTTCTCCTTTTCATGGGTCCAACCTACTGCCTGAATCACTGTCACTTCCATCATCTTCAAAACTGCCCCCATCATTACCAAATCCATTTTACCCATGCCCACCACTACCATGTCCATCACTAAAGCCACTTCTACCACTGAAGTTTCCTCCATGCTGGAAGTTGTCATTCCCACTAACATCATCTCCACAACCAGAGTTTCCAGAGTCACTTCCACCTCTTTGGCTGGATGAAGTACTCTCTATTTCTTGTTTGGAAGGGTTTTCTTACTTCACAGCTGTGGCCATTCACATCATGGTATTTCTGAATGACAGTCTTCTTTACAGAATCATGGACATCAAAGGTTGCAAAACTAAAGACTCTTGGTTGGTCATGATTTCAATTACTTCAGTTAACCATACTGCTCAAACAATCTCTCAGAAGATGTTTTTCAATGTCTTCTTTAATGCCACCAAAAAAATCTTGTTCACAGTTAAATGGGAACTGGGTATTTGAGAGTCTTGACACAACCCTCTGGTTCCACAGCTCTCCTGCCCAGCTGTGCAGACTTACCTCCATGGCTACCTCGACCTCCTCTGATGCCAGAAGTGAGAAGCCCAAAGCCTCTGGAGGACTTGGTGTTTGATTCTCTCATTACCACACAGTCTGTGAACATTTCTCATTGTTCAAAATGGCTCTCAGGTGCTCATCAGTAGTTTCAAAGCTTAAACCTAAGGAGCTTCTGCAGCTGCTTTGGCTCTTGGAAGATTCTGACTTAGACATGATGGCAGTGGAAGGGGAAACTTTTATGATGCTTACTCAGCATCCATGGGTGGAAAGCCAGGGTTGAACTTCATGAAGGTTCAAAAACTCCTTGAAATTATACATAGATGTAATATTAAGACTTATATAGTGTTTGGGAGGAGTTTTTATCATATTTTTATTTTTTAAAAGATTTATTTATTTCTACATACAGAATTGGGGTACAGGCTAGAGGTGCAGAGGTGAGAGGATTCACCAGAGACAGTAGGGAGTAGAACAGTCAGATCAATGAAGTACACTGCTGAGGGAAGTGGCGGCAACATCATATTTTTAAAAAGTGTCAATGAGCCACAAAAGATCCAGACGTTTGAATAAGAGTCTCAAGTCAGGAAAGGAGGTTGAGAGAAGAATGGCGTTGACCACCATCTCAACTCAGAGGTGGGAATGTGTTGAGAAATGATTGAATATAAAACAATTATGTCAGAATTGAGTAAATTCTTTTCTCCCATGGAACTAAAGTATTTGTCCCTTTGCAATAAATGGAAATATAAATTCTAATTTATAATTTACAGGTGGTATAAATTACTAATCGAGAAGATAGGAATGGGGCTCAACAAACACTGCTCAAATTCTACCTGATTAGCTATGTAACATTAGGTTTTGACTTCTCCGAGTATCAATTTCCTCTTCTGCAAAATGCTAGCAATTAGACGGAAGGCATAGGATTAAGTAATTTATTTAATTAATAAATTAAATTTAAATTCAACCCCTGTAATAGCTCATATGCTAGTTTACCAGGTATGCAACAGAGACTTGACTCTATGGCTGATTTTCTCATTTCCTCCAAGAAGTCCAAGCTTAAATTTTCCACCCTGGGCATTATTATGTACTCTTTCATATCTCTAGCTCATTACTGTTTTTACAAAGCACCTTAAA